TATATATATACACTCCCACATGTACATACACCCCCACAACATACACACACACACATACAGGCCCGCGCACAAACACGCATACACACACACACGCGCGCACACACACACAAGTATACACACGTACTCACACAAGTATACACACGCACAGACATACACGCTTAGCTATGCATATGTTTCCACCCCCTCTCTTCCTTCCCCGCACACTCACGCTCATACACCATGTTTGTACATACACACACTCATCTCAAAAATATTTATTTCGCTCTTTCATATGGCCATATGCAGTTGCAAGCGCGGTAAAACTCTTTCCAAAACAAAAAATACATCAAAGACATTTACCTTCATCTCCTGCTGCATTACAAAATGAAAAACAGTCTTATAGAAACCCACGAGTTACTTAGTCTTCAGAAGTTTATTCATCGTGTTCCATATTTCCCATTTTATTACTTTGCTTGGATTTTGGAACTCCCAGTACCTCTGTTAGTTACGATACTGGCCTAGAACAGAAAGACAACACTCTTAAAACACTCCCATTGCTGCCACACTGCTCTTTAAATCCCTACCTCAGAATTACAAAGTTCTATCTGCGTAATACCTAGATTCTAGTTTTGAGAAATTTGACTTCATAATTTTTAAGTTTCACAATATGGCATGCGTTTTTTAATGCATTTAATGACTTGGATTTTTCTAACCATTTTGATAGAGCGGATAGAGCATTTGGTTTCTGACCTCATGGTCTCAGTAACTTAAAAGGCCAACAATGTCAGATCTCTAAATACGCCACCTGTCAACTATACATCTTTGTCAGTATCAGGGGCACTTTTTACTTCCGACACGTTATCCACATTTTGTGTCTTCGGACCACTCAACTCCCCACAAGGGATGCAATTGATCGATCAAATTTCTTGGTTAACCGAGCAATTTTTTAATTTCTCGAAAATTACTCGAACAAGATTTTGCTCTTCTCGCACACCTTTTCTCACCACCTCTCCATGTCATGATATTATTATTTTTCCCTGTGTGCTCAGGCAGCGAAGTTGTTCAACCGACAGACCATGAACCGTGAAAAATGCGATATCCCCAGTGCGCCTCTCTGTCTTTATTTCTTCAGAGATATTTTGCTTGTTTTGATTTTTCGCTGGGCATTACTGTTCGCAGCTACGGAAGGTATTGTGCAGATGTTGCATCAGTCACCGAGACAGAAATCCTGCTTTCACACGAGCTTTGATTGTCTCCGAATTGCGTATTTTTACTTTGTCCTGAACAGCAGGATTGACAAAACAATTTCGAAAAGCCGAGAATATTTTTTAGTGTTCTAAGGTCTGGTGGAGAAATAATTCGTAGTTGTAAAGTGCATAAGGCATACAGTTGAGCACGGATATCGCTATATACGTGCACTTATTGTTATCAATGTTATTTTAATTATAATTCCTATCGTTATTAATATTATTATTATTATTATTATTATTATTATTATTATTC